CCCCGGCTGGCGGCCACCATGAGCACAGGCCTGCGGTACAAGAGCAAGCTGGCGACTCCAGGTGAGCTCGGCGCCCGCCCGCGCCTTTGTCCCCGCCGCCCGCCCGCCTCTCACTGTGTCTCTCCGTTTCTCCCCCACCCGCCGGCCTGGACCCGCCCGGACCCGGACCCCGACCGGATCCCGACCCTGACCCAGCAGAGGACAAGCAGGTACGTGCGCTCCGCCGCTCAGCCAGCCGGCTGTCACCCTTTGTAGCACCGACGCCGCCAGCGCCCAGGCGCGACCCCGCCCCCGCCGGCCGTCACCCCGCCCTGTCGCGATAACCGATTGTCAGCCTGGGCAGTGCTGCCCTGTCTGAGAATGCAGACAGGAGGAGTGGGCGCCATGGCATGGGGGCCTGGCCTCTGACCATCATAGCAGGGGCGTGCGCCCCTCCCATGATGGGGTACAAGCCGAGTGCCCCTCTCTCACTGGTCCAGAGGCAGCGTCTGCGTGCTGACCTGGCTTTAGGCGGTGTGCTGAGGGTCCTGAGTGAGGCCACTGGTTCTGGCAGGCCACAGGCTGGGGGAGGGGTCTGTGTCCACCAGCTGCACAGAGACCCTAGAAGCCCCACAAGGGAGCCTCTGCCCACCCTACCCCACTCTGCATCTTATGCCCCCTCTCCTCACACACCAATTCGAGTGGGCCAGGTCTCTTCCCCAGACTAGGAGCCTCCAGGGCCTGGTCTGAGTCATCCCCAAGCCCAGCATGGGTCTTCCATCCTAGTGAGTACAGATAGGCTTGTGGCCACCCAAAGGGGCTGGTTTGGTCCCCAGCCTCCAGGAATGCAGGACCCAACAGGAGGCTGGCCTGGGCACCCACTGTGAAACCCAGATGAGGTCAGGGTTAAACAGAGATGGAGACCCCGAAAGTGGGGTGGGGTTGGGTAATCAGGTGGGCTGGAAACTGTGGAGCAACCCTGCTGGGGCCTCACTGGCTTGAGAACAGCCATGTTTAGGGGAGAAAAGAAGGGCCCAACTCTGGCACCAGGGTGCCATCGGTGAAAGGGGGATCATACATGGGGTAGATTCTGGGTGGAACCCTGAAGTACTAGCCCAGGGTGTGGCAGGCAGGCCAGGTACAGCCCAGCAGGTGGGGTGGGGGCCTGGAATCACTGGCTGCCTAGTGCCTATCTCCTGGCCGATACGCACCCCACCTTGGGACAAGTGAGGCTCTTGGGGTGGGACCTCATCAACCTCACCCTGCCAGTGAGGGGCTCCCCAGAGAGCCCAAGCCAGGAACTGCCTTTCCATCACCAGTGGGTCAGACAATGCCTGAGATGCAGAGACACGTGCAGCCAGGCTATTGTTTGAGGGAGAGAGAGAGAGAAAAGGCCTGGGAGACCAGACCCCACGGCTTCTCCTGGGCCTGCACGCACTTGGAATCGCTGGGCTGGGCAGTTGCTGCCCAGCACCACCCAGGGACCCCTCCTGCTGAGGTATGAGCCCCTGCAGGCCTGAGTCTGCCCTGCATTCAAGGTCAGCTGGGAGCCAGCCTCACCCATCTTCAGCCCCTAGAACCTGAGGGAGAGGGCACTGTATAAGCAGAGGAGCCCCAGGAGCAGGGCCAGAGAGCCCGGTGTTTGGGGAAGGCTCCTGCGGGTCTGGAGGGAGCATTGTGGCTTCACTGTTACCATTGTTGGTGTTACTGAGCTTCCGCCTGTCCACACGGGCTGTGGAAGGGGCTGAGGGAACTCTGGTGGCCCTCTTTGCTTCTGCCTCATCTCAGGCAGTGGGGAGGGCTCTGGCGGCCTTCTGTGTGTCCTCCTCCAACCCCCACCCAGTCTCAGACAGTTATGGGGGCTCTGTTGGCTGCTTCTAGAGCTGACGGGTGATTCTAAGAATGGAAATGCCTCGAGAGTCTCAGGCTCCAGGAGGAGGTGGGCGCAGCTGTGTCTAGGGCTTGGGAAGCCCTGAGGGAAATTTGTTGTGCTTCAGGACCAGAGGAAGGGGGTGGGGTGGCAGGGTCCCTTCCTTGAGGCTCCCTCATGGAGTTCACCGGCCCTGTCTAGACACAGTCTGATGATGGGGCAGGCATGTGGGGAGCTGGGAGTGAGACTCACCTTCCTGACGTGGGCCTCCCCAGAGGCTGTGCCTTACCAAAGGGGAAACTGAGTCAGTCTGGGAGTGACAGACTCTGTTAGACACCAGGCTGTGGAGTGCTGAGGCTCTCGCTCAGCTTGAGGCCCAGGTCCAGGTCTGTCTTCCTGGAGCTGCCCTGGGCCTGAAATGTCAGCCTTTTGGGTGGGTGCTGGGCTGAGGGCCATGTCTAAAATGGGCCCACGGTGGAGGCAGAGTGGGACTCAGCCCAGAGGCTTCCTGTAGGTCAGCATGATAGAGGGCTGGAGCTAGTAAAGAGGCTTTTTCAGGGCGAGGCCTGGGGTCCTAGCTGGGAGATCTGGGGCCCCAGTGGCTTCCCTCTGCTCTCCACACTCTCCTCCAGGATGAAAGGCTCTCCTGTTCCCGCTGTGGGCCCACCCCTCCTCCTCAGGTGCCAGTGGCCTCTGGGCCCCAAAGCAGTACCACGAGCTTAGACAAGGGGACAGAGGCTCTTCAAGCAGGGACGGATGGGGGAGAGTTAGGGGGCCGCCTGTCCCTGCTGACACACTGTCTAGGGGGCACATCTCTTCATACCCCACCCAGCTCCTTGCCAGACCTCCCCTCCAGCCCACCTGGCGCTGGCGTTTTTAGATTCTGGTAGGGTACTAGGGAGAATGGTAAGGGTTTGGTGGCTCAGGAGACCACTGTGGACCCTGGAGTGGCTACATGGGGGTTAGGGCTGAGCTGACTGGAGCTCGCCAGTCCCCATGTGCCTAATTCTGTTGGTCAGAGCAGGTGGAGAAGCTCAGAGGGAATGCCCACAGGGGCCCATGCCATACACCTCCACCTCTGCTGTCAGGGTCTGCCTGGAGAGACAGATGGGGCAGCGCAGCCCGTGAGTGGCTATCAGGTTTGTGGAGTGACATGCTGGCCACAGCTTCCAAATTTCCTGAGGTAGAGCGGGGGTAGGCGGCTAGTACTCTCATGTTCCTCTCCCTGCTCCAAGTCTCCTTGGGCCTGGGGGTGGGGGCAGGTCCAGGCTGTGGAGGTGGGCTCTGATTCACGTGGAAGGTGAGCCCTGCCTTTGCCCGGTTCCACCATGTGGTCTTGCGGGCCACGCCAGTTAAGAATCCCCAAACATACAAACACACATGCACACGCACAAAGAGGAGGGAGCAGGTCAGCCCCAAGCAGAGGGTAGGGGGCAGTGCCGGGAGGGATGTGTCCCTGAGTAGTTGGGGCGCCGTGACACCGCGGGCGGTTTTCGCCGAGTCCGCGGAGAGAGCGGGGTGCATGAGCCGGTCCCGCGTGGGTGCGCTTGTGGCCCAGGAGCATCCTCCGGCGCCCTCCAGCGAGCGGAAGCCGTGCCGCACTTTTGGTGGGGAGCGATGCAATGGCCTTCCCGCCCACCTCTCCACCTCTGTTGTCCCGACGCCTGGATTGTGGCTGCGGGTCCGGTAGCGGGGCTCCCTGTCCTCACTGCGCGGCGTCCCCTTCGTGCTGTACTCAGCCCTGCCCTCTGCGGCAGCTTTCCGGTGGCTCCTCCCGCGGCCCAATTTCCAGGCGACCGTTTCCCGGCGACAGAGCGAGCGAGGCGGTCTCTGCGCGGAGCCCCGCCTCTGGTTCGCGTGCAGAGCGCGGCCGGCAGTGGCTGTGACGCCGCGCGGCTCAGGGCGGGTCCGCAGAGGCAGAGAGATGGCTCACACGGCCTTCGGGGTCAGCGGCACCCCGGGTGGTCCACGTCCCCTCTCTGGGCCTCAGTTCCCGTGCCCCTAAAACGGGAGCGAGAACAGGGCTTCGAGGGAGTAGCGCCTAAGTCCCTCAGGACACAGGGCCCCTGTCGGCCTGACCCGATCTGGGGTCCCAAGGTGCAGTCAGGGTCTGGGGGGTCGCTGCGATGGATTCTCTGGCGGCACCCCAGGACCGCCTGGTGGAGCAGCTGCTGTCGCCACGGACCCAGGCCCAAAGGCGGCTCAAGGTGTGTGTGGAGAAGGGAGTGGAATGTAGGTCAGTGTGTGTGCGCCCGCTGGGGCTAGGTCCCAGGGCTCTGGGATGTGACAGCGGCCAGCAGGGTCAGGGTCCACAGGGGATGGGCCTGGGACCCCAACGGCAGGGGGAGGCTCAGCGCTGCTGTCTATAAATAGCCCCTGCTCCACCATTGTCGCAGCCAGCCACCCCCGCGGCTGGATCCGAGCCACATGGGGCCTCCCACCCCCTGGTACACTAGGGAGGGGTGAGTACAGAGGCCTGGGCTTCTCCCGCCTGTGAAGAGAGGAGCATGTCTGAAGGGTCTCCATTTTTGTGCCTTCTATCTACCCCCCAAGGAAGGACACTGCCTGTGTCTGCTGAGGCCTGACATCTCCCACTCCATATACACACACACATAGACACAGTCTTGGGTCCCTGCAAAGCCCCTCGCTGAAGCTGGGACAAGGGTGCCTGCACCAGCCAAACCCCTGACCTGCCCTCCCACCTCCAGGCCTTTGCCCACAGGCCCTCACCCCCTTTCTGCCATTGATATGCTCTACTTTTGCTTGAGCTGGGTGGGGGACAGGGCTTGGGGCTGCCCAGGAGCCCCAGCGTACCCCTGACAGCCCTGCCCCTGCCCCCAGGATATTGACAAGCAGTACGTGGGCTTTGCCACACTGCCCAACCAGGTGCATCGGAAGTCAGTGAAGAAGGGCTTCGATTTCACACTCATGGTGGCAGGTGAGTAGGCCAAGCTCCCAGGTGGGGTGGTTGGGGCCACTGGCTGGCCAGCCTCTGTTGTGGGGTCCTCAGACCTAACCTGACTCCTTCACCGTATCTGTGGGTAGGTGAGTCGGGCTTGGGGAAGTCTACACTGGTCCACAGCCTCTTCCTGACTGACCTGTACAAGGACCGGAAGCTGCTCAGCGCCGAGGGTAAGTGGACCTGTCACTGCCCTGGCTCTGGTTCACCATTCCCTCATGTGCGACCCCTCAACGGGTGCCCTTCCAGGTTCAGCCCTGTTCCTCTCTCCCCACAGCATGGTTCTCCTGTCCAGGGTCCAGGAGGAATGGCCCAGACCATAGGCCTTGTGGCCAGGGCCAAAACACTAGGATGGATGAGAACAGGGTCCTGGTTCTGACTGCCCAAGGTGGGGGGTAAGGGTCAGGGAGGCCCCTCCAAGCGACATCCCCTTTCCTGAAGAGCGCATCAGCCAGACGGTCGAGATCCTGAAGCACACGGTGGACATAGAAGAGAAGGGCGTCAAGCTGAAGCTCACCATTGTGGATACTCCAGGCTTCGGGGACGCTGTCAACAACTCTGAGTGGTGAGGAAGGCCTGGCTGGGGCACAGTCCCTGCTCAAGCCAACCAAGCCTCCCCTGGGGCTGGTGGGCCACCCTCACAGCCCACCTCATGCACCCCGTGCCCACAGCTGGAAGCCTATCACTGACTACGTGGACCAGCAGTTTGAGCAGTATTTCCGCGATGAGAGTGGCCTCAACCGCAAGAACATCCAGGACAACCGGGTGCATTGCTGCCTGTACTTCATCTCTCCCTTCGGGCACGGGTGCGTGACTGTCCTGGGGTTAGGGGCCATCCCCCTCCGTGGAGCCGAGCCCCACCCATGCCTCCACAGACACCCCCTCCCTGAGCCTTCCCCTACCCGCTCCCTGCCCCACTGTCACCCCTACCAGCCCCTCACCACCGCAGCTGCCCCTCCAGGCTCCGACCAGTGGACGTGGGTTTCATGAAGGCTCTGCACGAGAAGGTGAACATCGTGCCCCTCATTGCCAAAGCTGACTGTCTGGTCCCTGGCGAGATCCGGAAGCTGAAGGAGCGGGTGAGCCTGCGTTGCAGTAGGGCCTGGCTCAGGACTCGGGCTAAGAGCATCAGGTGTGCTGACCCCGGGCACCACCAAACCTGGCCCAGGGGACCTGGCCAGCCCTGACTCTGACAGCCCTGCCCCACCACAGATCCGGGAGGAGATTGACAAGTTTGGGATTCACGTGTACCAGTTCCCTGAGTGTGACTCGGACGAGGACGAAGACTTCAAGCAGCAGGATCGGGAACTGAAGGTGAGCATGCAGCCCAGTGGTGGGGGTAGGGAGCTGGAGGCTAGTTCACATGGGGCTTGGAAGAGGGCGGAGGGCCCAGGTCTGACCTGTTGGAGCTAGGGGTCTTTACTCTGAGCAGTAGAGCCCCTTCGCCTAGGTTGAGAGGGCTGGGGTTGCCCATGTCCCTGCCTAGATTGTGTATTTGGGCCCCACGTGTTTAGCGAGTCATGGAGCACTTGCCAGGACCCAAAAGGCTTCACCCCCCCAACCCTGACTTAGTACCTCAGTCTCCTCATGGGTCACCAGCAAAAGGGCTCAGCAAATGGCCATGGAGCTGTGCATGCCCTGGCTGTCAGAATTCTGTGCTCCAGAGGGTGGGGGTAGCTTTGGGTGCCCCAGCAGCTAGAGTGATTAGGACCAAGCCCAAGCCAGGGGACAGGTGGCCACCAGGCAAGGAGCAGGGTCAGGCAGGCCCTTGGCCCCAACCAGAGTCAGCAGGGGCATCACTAGGAGGCATAGGCTCAGCCGGTCAGAGGCCTTAGGGTGTAAGCTGCACCAGCTCTGGCCTCAGTCTATAGCAGAGAGGCCAGAAGTGGGGTGACACCAGGATGTCTTTGGGGAGAGATCATTGACAGTATTGTTGGAGGGGGCTGGCTGGCCAGGAGCTGAGTGCCCATGCCCCTCTCCAACCACTAACCCACACTAACTGGGCGCGAGCTCTTATACCTACTCATCCCCAGGAGAGTGCACCCTTCGCGGTTATTGGCAGCAACACGGTGGTGGAGGCCAAGGGACAGCGGGTCCGGGGGCGACTGTACCCCTGGGGCATCGTAGAGGGTGAGTCCAAGCATGAGGCATGGGCATGAGGGGTAGGAGGGCTCCCCTGGGCCGGGGCCCCACCCACCACCTTTTCTTGCCCTGCAGTGGAGAACCAGGCACACTGCGACTTCGTGAAGCTGCGCAACATGCTTATCCGCACACACATGCATGATCTCAAGGACGTGACTTGCGACGTGCACTATGAGAACTACCGTGCGCACTGCATCCAGCAGATGACCAGGTATACCACCCTGCCTGCCCCAAACCTGGACCTGCATCTCGTGCTCCAGCCATGTTTCCATAACCAAATGTGGTCCTGGCTGTCCACCCAAACTCGAACCTTGCCCCAGTCCCCAGATCGGCTTCCCAGCACCTTGTCTCCCCAGAGCCAGCCCAAAGGTGTGGGAGCTCAGGTGGGCAGCCTCGACAGTGGAGAGGTCAGCCAGACCTCCCAGCAGCATTGTCCCTCTTGTCTACCACCCTGCAGCAAATTGACCCAGGACAGCCGCATGGAGAGCCCCATCCCCATCCTGCCACTCCCCACCCCTGACGCTGAGACAGAGAAGCTCATCAGGATGAAGGATGAGGAGGTTGGTAAAGTGGCAGGGGAGGAGTAGGGGCTGGGGGATGGGTGGAAATCATGCTAGGCCGCTTTCATCTCATTTCTCACCCCACCCTCCATTGTTCCTGCCCCCCAACCCCAGCTGAGGCGCATGCAGGAGATGCTGCAGAAGATGAAGCAGCAAATGCAGGACCAGTGACCCCACCTCAGCCCCACCACTGCCATGGATATACTGCCAGTTTCTGGGCTGGCCCTTCCCACCCCTGGACCCTGACCAGCCTGGACTTGACCCTGGATTCATCTGGATCTCCGACAGGCCTGGATGCAACCCCAATCCCAGAATGGCCTAGACCCAGACTGTTCCTGACCTGACCCAGAGACTCAGGGTCACAACCCCCAGCCAATCCTAATTTATTCTCAGCATCAGCCCCTCCTCTCATTTGTATCTCCTTCCATGGGGCCTGGGCAACAGCCCCCACAACGAAGCCCCCTCTGGCCTTGGGGGAGCAGGAACTAGGTTGAGCTGTGACTTTTGAGATCTCTCCAAGTCATACAGAAGGTCATACTCAGACTCTAGTCCCTACTCAGGCAGGCCTGTAAACCAAGGCAGAATAGGGGAGCAGATCCCCAGGGTCTTGGACCTATTCCCCTACCCCAGTGCTGCAGCGTGGACTTAGGAGCCCATTTTCCCTGCTCCTGCTGGCCGCCCAACATATGCTGAGACCTCACGTTGTGTGGACGTGGGCCAGGTTCTGTCTTCCTTCCTCACCAGTAGGTCAGCAGGCACGTGGGGCTGCAGAAACACTAAGGCTCCAGACCTAAGGAGGCCAGCTGGCTATAGGCAAGGTTGGCTGGGGCTGGGATGCCTGTGGCTGGTATGCCTGTGATAGGCCCCGCCCCACCCCCAGGGCTGTCGCCTTTGGAGAGCTCCAGGAGCAGTGCGGTTGGCCATGCCCTGGCAAACCCCAGGCCTAGACTGCATTCCCTGTCTGGCACTGGAGGTCCCTTCTCCCCAGCAGCACTGTTGCCCTGAGTTCCCTAGCCCTTGCTCCACCTCCATCCCTCCACTGGCATGAACCCTTCCCCGAGCCCCCTTTTCCAATTCAGTTGTGAATGCCGTGTCCTGTCCTGGTGACAGAACAATGTTGGTAAACGTCGCAGCAGGTGTCTGAGTGCTACTTGTGGCCCTAGGAGCGAGTGGGAGCGGAAGTGCGGGCGGCGCGGGCCCTGGTGATAATTCTATCTGCGGCCGCAGCGCCTGTCCGGGCAGGCTTGGGGTTATTTCTGGCGGGGCGGCTGCGCTGTGGTCGGTGTACCCCGGAGCGCGGGGCCTGGAAAAGGCGGAGTGGCCTTTCGCCTGGTTCTCTGACCAACTCCTCCCGCTCCAGAGCAAGCCGGGCCGCCATCCTCTCGCCATGGGCTCTGGTGAGTCTGTGGCGGGCCAGGCCGGGCCGCCCCCTGAACAGAGTCCAGTTGGGAGGCGCTCCGTCCGGTCTTTTCGGCTGCAGAAGGGAGAGATTTAGTTTAGGCTTCGAGGGGACTTCCAGCCAGTGTGCGGGGTAGTGGGGGTGGCGAGGTTTGCGGACAATGGGGAGCCCAGGCCTCCGAGGCGGGAGCAGGCCTGGCGCTCCAAGTGCTGAGGGACCCCCTCACCCCCATGCCCTGCAGGCTGCCGGGCTCACCGCGGCGCTTCCCTTCCAGGGCCGCGCGGGGCGCTGAGCCTGTTGCTCTTGCTGCTCGCGCCGCCGAGCCGCCCGGCCTCGGGCTGCCCCGC